AGCTTTCTGCCTAGGAGCTGGGGTCTAAACATGTCCACAGTAAAAAAAAAAAACCAAACACAAACAAAAAAAACCCACAACAAGCCAAGAAAACGCAAAACCAAACCACGCCTATAAAAGTGAATGCCCACAAAAATCATATAATACTGCTGCCTCCCTTTTCTGCAGTGTGCCACAGTTCAGTATTTGTGCACCACACTACTGCTTTCTTATCATATAGAATGTTACACTGGGACATTTTTCTAAACTGAGATGTGTGTACACACGTATATGTATACGCATGCATCACCTCAAGATTTGGCAAATGCACAGGATCTAAAGCAATATAAAAAGCTAGTTAGGTATTAAATATTACAACAAAGTTTTGGTGTGGGTTTTTTTGTTGGGTTTTTTTTTACTGTTTCGTCAAATAGACTCATTGCATTCAGTTAGTATCACTATGCCTGCGAGTACCAGGCTAGTAAAACCTCCTATGCTCACTCATAAGAGGGGGGGGGACGGGCAATTAACTACTTCTTGCTAGTGACTGAAGCGGATAAAAAAGACAAAGTGGTTAAACACAAGTTATAAATTTATCATAAAGCCTAGTAACACTGATTCTCAGTACTTTAACTACTGGCCCACACTCCCTCTTCAATACTCTCCCTAAGCATTTTACTTTTAGGAGCTTTACCTGAATTAGAGAGGCTGCAGCTGGGATTTGCCTGTTGAAATGCTTCTGACGCTGCTTCTGCTGTACTTTCAGGGCAAAACCAGACCCCAGAATACCCTAAATATAAGCAAAATTACTAGTCAGGCTCCAATATGGCTTCACACATCTAAACCAAATGCTTAACATGGGAAATAAACAAACATATTATAAAATACTTTCCTAGAAAAAGTTCTGAATTTCCTAAAAAAAGAAAAGTTCTGAATTTCCTAAGATATCCACAGTGACAGAAATCTATACATTGCAACAAATAAATCTGAAATTGAGTACGTTAATATTGGCATCATGTAACTTCAACAAACAGCGCAAGTTTATTGCTGTGATCTACAGGTAACATTAGTTAGAGGCATTCACAGATGCAGTCATTTTCCAAAAGCAACCCTGCACAATGGTGGGAGAAGCAAATGCCAATGTCACATGAGTGATCTACAGCTGTTCTTTGCCCTTGTTTTTAATTCCTTGCCACAAAAAAAAAAAAAAGGCAACTAAAGCCAGAACTCAGTTTGATTTTCCAAGCAAACTGAGTAAAGAAGCCAAAGATAAGCTTTATAATTTCAGCATTTATGTTAAAACTGATAGTTACTGAAGAAATACTTTGTCTTTTCCAATTACTTTGATGTTGTTGTCTTTATTTCCCCCCATTCAGTCATTCAAAGATCCCATAAGCCCAAAGATGCTTTATAGTACTATGTAGGAAAGCTGATGCAGTTTTCTAGTCCTCTGCTTCATGGCAGTGTTCCTCTCCTCACAAGACCCCAAATTGTTCTTCTATAATCACAAAACAGCAGAAATGAAGTTTCACCTCCGGCAGTGACGTACTGATAAAAAACCCTCTCTCTTCACTTCACAGAATAGTTTCAGTTCTTTGGGCAGTGAAAATTATTACCTCCTTCTTAGGTCACATCTCTCTAAAATGACTGCAGTAAAGAGACAGCAGTCTCTTTCATTCATTCGTGTGTGTGTGTGCGCGCAGAGACACAAACATACACTTGAGGATGTGTGCATGCACATTCTGAAGCAACACCTAATCCCTCTATTTCCAATCAAAGGCACCAATTTAAAACTACCTAATTGTGAGCCTCAGTCAGACAGACACTTTAAAAAAGTGAACCAAGTTCTACTTACCGCTGGCAGAGCAAAGAAAGATATAGCAAATACTGAAAAACAGGAAGCTACTGTCTTCCCAATCCATGTCTGGGGAACTTTGTCTCCATAACCAATTGTTGTGACTGTTACCTAGGCCAGAAACAAACATCTGATTCACTGAAATGCAGTACCTTTCTTACCCCAAAAGTGGGGGGGGGAAATAGAGAAGCATCAGGAAATACAAATGTATCAACAGCGTTTGGATTTGTGCAACCACAGGAGTACCCTCAAAATCACTGTAGATTTATCCCATTTTTACATTCTTCAGCTTGCATGCACAACTGGCCACTGTTTCAAATGCAACAGCAGGCTGAACCTAGGATGGCTGCTCTTGCAGTTTGTAGCTGGGTGCTTCCAGCTTCCCAAAACTCTTACCGATTGGCCTTGTGGGCTTGAAACCATAGGCTTGCAGTTTTTCTACTTTTGCTTTTAAAACATAGCTCCATGGGGCTGGAAAGGCGGCCTTCAGAGCACTGACTTGCACACAACTGACACAGACATTTGCCAAACCCTGCAGTCAGGCACAGGCACCAGCTGCAGCAGGACAGCAAAGGGACAGAACTAACACCATCCCAGCTGAACCTTCATAGCAGGAGGAGGAACATGCAATCATTCCAGGAGACTATCTCCCCAAGTAAACATGACAGGAGAGCAAGAGCTAGATACAGCTGAGCCCCACACTCAGCTTTTTTTCCTTCCCCCACAAATACAGTTCTCTGCTACTCAAGATCATGTTTAAGCCACAGGATGCATCCTATTACTGTACCTGCTCACTGCTATCACGGTGCAGCAAGGGCCAGCTATTCCCTAAGGGATGAGGTGCCTAGAGTCAAAGGGGGTAACACAACCAGCAGGACAATGCCTCCCCAGTCAGGATCCAGCCCCACAGCACCCAAACAAGACAGATACAGAAAGAGCAACCAGGTCCAACCAAGAGTCCAGAGTATAAGGCATCATCTGAGCAATGAGGCAGGTCCAACATCCAACCAGGAAATCCATCCACAGGTCAGGGTTAGGATCAAGTTCAGTGGTCAGCAAGTCAGTCCACAGCAACAACACAAGAGTCAGGATAAAGGCAGTCAGGATCACAGGACTCCATAGCCAGGCACAGCTGCAGCTGAGCTAAAGACCAGCTCTCCTCTAGCAGCGTGCTGAGCTTAAATAGAGCCCCGGGAGTGGGTGGAGGCCACAGGTGATGCTGGTCAGGGCCCTAACAACAGCCTCCCCTCTCAGCAGGGCATGTCTCCGCACAGGTCTGGGATCAGCATCACTGTGGGGGTGTCAGTAGCCTTTTCCAGGGCACAGAGCCACAACAGGGACAGGAAACTGGAAAGAGACATTGTATTAGCAACTCAGGGCTCAGACGGGACAAGCCACCCCTGAAAAGCCACAGAGATAAGGAGAGCCTGAGTGCAACAGAGGTTTCAGCCTGTTCCTGATGAGCCCCAGCAGGCTGCAAGAGAACTCATTAGGAGCCCAGTGCGAGGAATCCAGGTGAAATCTGGTTCATCAGAAGGGTTTGTAATGTAACAAGAGCCAGCTGCTCCCCAACAGAAGGTGATCCCAAGGAGGTACACTAAGGCGAGCCAAGGGAATCCCACAGCTGCCCAGACAGGGGCTTCACCACCCTGGACACAGCCCTACAGCAGGAGAGACTCACAGACAGTAGCCGTGTCTGACAAAGAGTCTAAATCATAAGGAAATATCAAGGTGATGAGTTAAGTCTGAGGTTGAGTTAGCCCAGAGATTGGCTGACCTGAAGACCAGCTTTCCTCCAGCACGGCCCAGGTGGGGACTAAGTACCCAGGGCTGAGCCTAAATAGAGCCCCTGGGTCATGGGTGTTGGGAGTGGCTTCAGGTGTGGTTGGTCAGGGCCATTAAAGGCCTTTTTTATCATACTCAGAGACCTGACACTGCCATAAAATGGTATGACAAAGATGACTTGCACTTCTAAGAAGTGGAAAGCTTCTGGTTAGGAAACAAATTCTGTCACCAATACCAACCACTGGGGAGAACTTTAAACAGAAAAAATGTACTTCTGTGTGGGAGTACCAGCCCTACACCCAGTCCCACTCCCTTCATTTTGCCTTGAATGGTAGCAGAAATACAGCCAAAACAGATTTAAAAGAATATGTAAATTTACACTGACTACAAAAGAGGATGTGGAAATACTGCCTTTTATGGGAAAAGTTGCTGACAAATACTTAGATACTATGGCAAAAAGAGGCTTCTCAGAACTTATCAGCAATAAAGGCATAGGAAGAATACTCTGAGAGCAGCTCTACAACAAGCTGGAAGGAAGATTTGCAGAGAAAAAATGACTAACTACTGTCAAACTAAGTTTTTCCAAGTTCAAAAGAAGTTAGGCTTGTGTTTATTAATCATGAATTTCTCACTTGATGAAGTCAACTCTGTAGTATCTATATCCTCTAATGAATATTGTTCTTTTCAACTGCAAACTGCTCTCAGCAGGAGCTCTGTCTTGCCAGGTGTCTGTCCGGATTTAATGTGGCTTCCTCATGAAGTGACTCAGGTGCTGTGTACTACCAGCAGTACAAACAGATGAGTCCGCCAGCCCCCAAAATTAAACCAGACCCCCCCAAAATCCAACTTTGAAATGCAGTATGTGTTAGTGGGGAGTGGAGGAAGTTAAAGCAGTGTTTCTTTAACTGAACTTCAGCTCCTCAGTGCACCCAGATGACCCCTTAAAGTCTGGGATTTTTCCTTCCTTTTCCTCTCTTTTTTCTTATGAAAGCCTTCTTGTTTTTTTTGTCGGTGTGGTTTTCTTTTTTTTTTTTGAGTTCTTCAGCACTCAGGACTTAAAAACAAACTGCAGTAACGTTGAGCTGCCTTCGCGTTACTATGGAAGACAGCATGAAAGCTGTAACCACAGAATAGATGATTTTCCATCTCTACAGCAGGCATTTGGCTGGTAGATTCCTGCAGGTGCCTGAACATGTCTCAGAAAGTTTCTCCCTGGCTACCTTAAGAGGGTTCCTTCTTGGTAATCTAATTAGTGCATTGAAGTATGTGGAAAGGATTATAAAAAAATGTAATTCTCTGGCTTTCTTAATCACAAACAAAATCTTTTTCTGCTTGTATATCCAAAAGTTATTAGTTATCTGCTCAAAGAATGTTTAATAACTAGGCTTTGGAAAATGACACCGCCTTCTTAATACAGATTTACTATAGCACATTCCAGCTGGTATGCACGTGCTCCAACGCAGGCTCTGAAAACACATGTACTCTCCAAAGAAGGAAGAACTCTAATTTAGTAGAAGTCAACAGAGCTTCTCATAGTCTTTGAGATAAGCAGGTGTCCTGAAGCTTGAAGAGTCAGAACTGCACTCCTCAAAAAATATATTAATTATAAAGGGGTTCAGACTACTACCGCTGGCATGGAAATTTACAACTGGAAATTCTGAACAATTGATCCAAAGTACCTCTGCCAGTTAACACCAGTTTACTGGAGCAATTATTTAACTCAAGTTCGATGGTACAGAATAGGCCAGTTTGCAGCAAAAACAATAAACATTACCAACAGCAAGAGACGGGCACTGAAGGGCCAATGGAAGAGAAGCCTCCTACATGCCCTTCTTCTTTCCTCAGGAAAAAGCACCCAGAAATGAAAGAAAAACTGCTGTGACATGGGATGCAATTCTGGCAGACTGACAGTGCTGTTGGAAATGCTTTTGCATGTGTTCTCACATGCTATAAGTTCTGAAAGTGGCTCCATACAAAATACCACAAGCCTTTGATATGTCTTTGCAGTTTAATCTGCGCGCCTGCCAAATCTAGGTGAAACAACCTTGCATTTAACTGGAGTGGGTAAATGTAGTTAGCATTTAATTCCAACTCTCATTCATCCTTTATTTTCCCTTTTCTTCATATTTAAACCTTTCAGGTCATTTGTATCAAGTTCAGCAAGCTTGCACTTTCTACTCAAACCAAAATGTTACCCATAATACACTCTGTGGTCTTTGTCAGACACATAAGACTTTCAAACACTTGCTACCAAGATTTTTTTTCCTATGGTTCAGTTTTGAAAGGCGAAAGTGAAATCAAATTTCACTCCCTAGTAACTCCACATCTGTGTTTCTCTGTTACAGAAGACTTGAAAAGAAAAAGAAACTGATTGACTTTGTCCTTTGTCACTGTTCCCAGCTGTGAACTGCACCTGCACCGTGACTCACTAATGCTGAGGAGGCCTAGACGTCTGGAAAGCTTAAACAACAATTTAAACAGTGTTCTTCATGTGCCCCACACAGCTACAGAAAGACAAAGCTGATTTTATCTTGCTGTTACACAAAACAAGTGAAGTTTTGGAAAACAGCAACAGAACCCATTGAGCACTTTGCAAGGCGCAAACATACACTTTGAAATACAGACTCCAAGTCATCCATCTCAACAAGGTAACGCAAGGCACATTTTAAACTTATTTGTTGGTGTTCATAACTGAACTCCTTTTGAATTTCTTAAGTTCAAAATATTAACAAAATATGTTAATAACAAAATATCAACACATCTTGACTTTTTTGCCCTTAATTTTTTTACCCTTTACTCAAAGTAAGAATGTGGTTTCTAGCATTTAAAAATATTTTGTAATCCTTACCTAAACATGCAATGCAACTCATAAAGCAAGCTCTGGACAACTGCAGCTTAAAAAAATATAAAAGAAGGAAAAGTAGAAGTACACTGGCTTCACATGGAAGTTTTATCACATGCAGGAATAACCCATGCATGAATATACATGGGCAGAACTGGATGCTAAAAACCATAGCTAGTTCTCAAATGGATTGCTGAAAATCCCTTTTGTTTTCCACTGTACCTTGCTCCTCCCAGTTTGATAAGGGGTTCTTCTTCCCTCTCAATCAGTTCTGAATTTGGGCGTTTCCGGCCTTTTGCAGTTACAGGTCTAGGAATTACTTTACGAAACACCAAAGATATTGTGCAGAGCAAACATGAATCACCATCTTTTAATGATTACAAATTAAATTAAGACATCTTTATTAATAAACTATATGCTTTCCATTTCTTTCACTGGTGTCATTCTAATTCACATAGTGCTACAAACCTCTTTGGAACTTCACTGTGCTAGAAAAATTTATGAGACATTTCTCATAGATTCAGCAGAACTAGTGCAAACTTTTATGAGAGCCCCTAATGCTGCTGAAGTTCCCACAAGCAGCCTCACTTTTAATTAGATGTACTTCACAGACTATTCAGCTAAACCATTAGTAAAAACAGAAACAGTAACTGCGTTCCACTGCGTTCAGTCACTTGAACACTGGTATTGGAGCTGAACTGCTCAAATAATAGCAGAATAAGCAAGCCTGTGTACTGGTTTGTTTCATTAAAGTAGACGGGGTGTTTTTCATAATGTCAATTATAGCCTAATTGTTTTACTTTTGCTTTTAAAATAAGGCACAATCTGTGCTTCTGTGACATTTATTCCTTTCCTCCACTCACTGGAAGTTCTCATGTCCATAACCATGAGGTTTTATGTTCCGAAAATTTTATCGTATGTCTATTGAGGACTGGTTGTATAGGCTAGTTCATGGGTTTATTTCTTCCCAGCACATTAGATAACCAAGTTCATCTGGTCATTTAGTGGATTTTTCTTTTTTACTAGGTTCTTGTTGGTTTGTACTGTTTTGCACAGCCACAGGTGATACTCTGCAAATGAAATGAATATCTGACAACCTATTAATGTTTAAAAGATTTTTATACCTAACCACTCAAAAAGCAGTAACTCAGGGTACATGTAACACAATCTGCATTTCTGTATACTTCATTGAAGTAGATTCTTATGGAGCATCCAGATTAAAGCTTTGAAACATGTATCTGTTAAGAACTTTTCATCTATCTTCCTAGACTTTCTCACCAGTTTACTTGGATGCAGATGAACAATTGGTTTATGACCCAATAACTATATTGGCATTTTTCAATTATCTAAGAACAAATCCAGTTTATCGTGTTTCAAATCACTCTTGAAATATATCCTTCACTCTCTGGAAGTTGGTGGGTCTGCATCTGTTCTAGCCTCTCTTTTTTCTCTGTCACTAACACTGATGTGATGAATCTCCTTGGATTTCTTATAATGAGACAGCCAACTCATAAAATATATGAGGTTCTCTTGCAGGGAAAAGGGACCACAAGAGATGAGATGGTTTGTGCAACAGCTAATAAGGAGGGAAAGCATGAGTCACAATGAGAAACATGACAAGAAAAGCCATATGAAGGGTGTGTAGTAACAATCTGGTGTCTTATTCTGTTCATAGCCATCTACTCCATTTTCAACTAATTCTGGGCATGTGCACAATAATTACCACAATGCTCTCATAATCCCAACTCCTCCCTAATGATATTCTTTTCTTTATTTGACCAAAGATTTGCACTGACCCTGACTGATGTTTGATATCCGAAGTAGCTGATGAATTTGTGAAGCTTTGCCATCTGCTTTTGATGAAGCTGTTTACCTTTACAGTGAATCGTGGAATTATTAAAAAAAAAGGGAACCTGTAAACTTCATCAAGGTCTGCATTATTACTGAGAGAGTGAACTTGACACAAAAAGATAAAAAAAACCAGAGTTGTTAACACAACTTCCACAAATAAACATACTTTTAAAGTTATACACCTCTTGTAGATAATTAAGTAGAGTTTAAAATAAGTGGTACAGGTTTTAGAGGGTACAAGGCCAGGTTAGATGAGGCTTTGGGCAACCTGGCGTAGTGGAGGATTTCTCTGCCCATGGCAGGGGAGTTGGAACTAGATGATCTTTAAGGTCCCTTCCAACCCTAACCATTCTATGATTCTATGATAATATTTTTTCTTATATCCTTTTTAAAAGGTTGTCAGGCTTCCCTACAGAAATATATTCTGCAAAGAAGGAAATGACAGATTTTTTAAAAAGATCACAAGTTAAACAGGAAATCTTGTACACTAAGTTTGTGCACACATTTTGTTGGTAAATACTTACCACACCCCACCAAAGGGCATCAGCATAGCTGGAGAAACCTGTCTTTCCGTCCTCATCAACTGCATCCTTCTCAGCAAGATAAACAAAATAGGATGAAAAAATTAATCCCAAGAATCCAATGTACAACGTGGTTATGAGTTCCTATTAAAACAGAAAGCAAGTAAGTACATAAGGTTTACATCATATATACTCTATCGTTGTAAAACATTGTAAATATCGGGGGGAGGGTTGCATCACAGTAGAAAAAATCAGTAAGTTCTATTTCAGGTATGAAATTTGCTTCCAGTAAAACAGGCAGCTCAGTGACTTGTTTTCTCTTCGTATCAGACTACAGAACTCAAGGAGAAGCCATCATTTAAAAAAAAATCATTTGGACAGCTAAATGTAGGGTGGGATATCTCTCTTGGTTTATGTCTTGTGAACAGGAATCATTCCATTTAACTGTCCACTTGAAATACCAAACGTTAATAAATTTTAAAAATAGTAAAACAGCTTTAGAAATGCACTTTATGAAGAGCACGCCAAAATAATAGTTAAAGAGTTAACAACCATGTCTTGTGATTATGAGCATATCTAAGAAATGAACTTGTATATCTGATATTTAGATTGCTAAAGACTGACTATTGATGCCTTAACAGTTTCATGTTAAGATAAAATAAAATCTTAAGATAAAATATATTAGGTAGGGGTAACCTCTACTTCAGTCCTGAAAAACAAAGACTGAAGTAGAGGCTTGGCCAGTTTATTAGAGGGAACTTCTGTTAGGGCATGATACACTGCTTGTGCGTATACCAGTTTCTCAATGATTTTTGGATAAGAAAGTTGTATCAGAACTGATGCGACTTAGATACAGGATTATAACAGTCTTTAGGAAAAATGTACTTGTGCATTTAAAAGAGCCAAGATGTGTAGTGTCACAGATGCAAAAATGTGTAAAGCTTATAAAAACAGTGCTACATCATAATCAAATGAGATATTCACCTATCCCTCAGGAAAATCCAATACCTAGTCATGAGGGAAAATAGCTTATTTTAATCACTTGAAGTTACAATGCTTCAATAGTTAATACATATTACAGTCCTTTATTTTCTTTGCACATGTTTAGCCATCTTTATTATGAAACATTGTAGTACTACATCTTCATTGGCATCTTCCTTAAATTCTTGACAGAATTATTTTTCACTCCTTGGATCCAAACCAATGCAGGAATTAAAACATTCCCATAAGATAAATTTAAAATTAAAACCAGTCTAAGAAGGATTGCCTCTACTTAAAAAGTATGTCAGATTTTGATAGATTTTTTGTAACATTCTACCCACACTTCTTATACCATTTGTGAGGGAAAGGTCAGGTTTTATCATCAAACTTCCTTCACATTTTTTTTTTTCTTCTTTCTTTTCGTTTTCTTGTAAGACCTTTCTGGGAAAATGTAGCCCTGGTAGATAGTAACTGCATCCAGCAGCAGGAACTATATATAATCTTCCTTCTGCTATAGCACTAATTAAAATCTAGGTTCAGCAAGTTTTTAAGCAATCTTGGCACAAAGCAAAGTAGATGGTTTTTCTCTAAACATGTAATAATGACGTAAATAACGAATTTTGATAGTGTTCAGTTTTGCCCATTGGCAAGTCTTTTAATTTAAGCCTTCACTTCTTGCAGGCCTGTTAGCTAAACAAAGCAGCTGGAAGGAGAAATAAAACTTGGGTTTTCAGTAGTTCAGATTTCTATGCTGGTCACCATTTTTTTCTCATCTTTTTCTCTAATGATATTGGTACACTGTGTACTTGTGGATACGACTTCATTGCTCTGAAAATAATAGAATCATAGAATGGTTAGGGGTTGGAAGGGACCTCAAAGATCATCCAGTTCCAACCCCCCTGCCATGGGCAGGGAAACCCTCCACTACACCAGGTTGCTCAATGCCTCATCCAACCTGGCCTTGAACACTTTCAGGGATGGGGCATCTACAACTTCTCTGGGCGACCTGTTCCAGTGTTTCACCACCCTCTGAGTGAAAAATTTCTTCCTTATATCTAATCTAAATCCCCCCTCTTTCAGTTTAAATCCATTGCCCCTTGTCCTATCACTACACGCCCTTGTAAAAAGTCCCTCTCCAGCTTTCCCGTAGGCCCCCTTTAAGTACTGGAAAGCTCCGATAAGATCACCCCAGAGCCTTCTCTTCTCCAGGCTGAACAGCCCCAACTCTCTCAGCCTGTCTTTATAGGAGAGGTGCTCCAGCCCTCGGATCATCTTTGTGACCCTCCTCTGGACTCTCTCCAGCAGCTCCATGTCCTTCTTGTGTTGGGGACTCCAGAGCTGAATGCAGTATTCCAGGTGGGGTCTCACGAGAGCAGAGTAGAGGGGCAGAATCCCCTCCCTTGACCTGCTGGCCACGCTTCTTTGGATGCAGCCCAAGATACAGTTGGCTTTCTGGGCTGCCAGCGCACATTGCCGGCTCATGTTCAGCTTCTCATCCATCAGCACTCCCAAAAGGTCCTTGTGTTTACATTTATAGTTGACTATTAGTATTTCTCTAACTTTTCACAACCTTTTGATTTGCCTACACAGTATTTTTTCAATGCAAGATGAAACTGATTAACACCTGAGACTCTAAGGTCAGTGATGCATAGAAAACTACAAAAGAAATGGGGACTAATTCTTGTTCCCTGCTTACAAAGAAAACACTCTGCTTTCATCTCTATTGGATTTGTGACTTCCTTACACATCAACAGAAATCTTTTAGTTACGTTTGGCATGTTGCTTACATCTCAGATAATAATAGACTTTACATGTTGTTAAGGAATGGCCATCACTGCTTTCTTTTAGTTTTGTCTCAGAGGACAGAATTAGAGAGTGGATGATAATTGGAATATTTTGGTGTTAAGAGCTGGCTTTTTGAGCAGAAAAATATGCTTTTCAGAAGTGCTATGCATGGTCTTATGAGATTCCTTTCAAAGAGGTTGAAATATCAACAGAACTACTCGGGTTATTTCACTGTTGGCACTTCCTAGCTCCAGTCTATTCATCTGAAGACTGAACTCTTGTTAAGGAAAGCCCAGATGCAAATGTAATTGCCTTGAACTTATTCTAAATGTCACTCCGTGTTAAATATGTAATGAGAGACAAAATAATACATGCTTATACTTAATTATTAAGAACAATGGCAGCAAAGTAATACATATTGCATTTAGGAGGGAGCACAGAAGATTTTAAAATAATACGTGCTTCAAGAAATATGAATAGAGTGGTGTCTACCAATGCCAAAGAGTATGAATTGATACATGATCTCAAAGCAAAGAGCATTTTGTAGAAACCGGGCCTTAAAACTTCACATTGATATGAATTTTTAACAGATGAGAGCTTAAGAATAAAGAGTGCTGCCTAATACAAATGACTTTTCAGCAAGGACTTTCAGAAACATATATGCAAAGGAAACAGGAAGAACAAAAACCAAATATGCACAAAGGTAAATTTGAATATTGAGAGACTTGAGTAAACACATTCTTTGCACTTAGACAGATCCATATTTTCAGTTACAATAAGGACCACACAAAATAAAATTCAACACTTAGGAAAAATACAAGAAAATCCCAAATCCACGACTCATCAGTAACACCCTTCTCAAAGCAGTAGAAGACCTCACAAAGCAAGGTGAGGAATAAGTAAAACTAATTGAGAGGCTTACGAGCCAGAGCTGGATTGGCTAACTCAGTTTTTCAGTAAGCTGCATGATTTTTCCATGTCTTTCCATACCACATGTGATACTGACTCATGTTTTGTTGCTTTTGGCGAGAAATGCTTGTGTAAGCTCAACCTGCTGGAAATAGAAGAGCATCCTAGCCAAATTGGGCCTAAGTGAGCTAATACAGCTATACGTAAAATTCCAAAACACATGGAAATCATTGGTGACAACTTTAGTAAGCTCTTCTGGACCCACAGAGGTCTAAGCACTTGTTATTTTCACAGGTCACAAAGACGTGAATTTATTTTCTCACATTGTTTAAGGGTTTTGGGTCCCATTTTTTCTGAAAGAGTACCAAACTCAACAAATAAATGAGAACCTTGTACTCTGCCTTTAAAAAAAAAAAAGCAGCTGAGGTGTTTTTGTTTTCTTTTTTTTTAAACAAAAATTTCTTTAAGAGACTGGACAGGAATAAAGGTTCCATTTTCCCTTCCGTTTGGTACCATGCTAGGGTTTCAGCCACACTTGTCCAATGTCAATACAGAACTGTGTTTGATTTTTTTTTTAATTAATGTGTTAGTGGGTGATCTGCTTTGACAAGTATTACAGATCTGTAGAGTTTTATATATCATCATAATCACTTCTTTGGATTAGCAGAACTTCAGGTGTGGTTATTCATAAATTCACTTCTCCAAGAGTATTTTTTTTCCTTTTAAATCATTGAACTTATTTATGTTTGTGACATTTTAGACTTAAGTGTTATATTTTGGAGATAGTATTTCCAGATTTTTGACTAAAACTCTGAACACCCACAGGAAAAAATTCTCTCAAACACCTCTGTCAGTAAGGTTAGCAAATGTTGAGAAAGTGTATTTGGATACCAGCTCTGCCCCAGCTAGATATCCAGGCAATGCAACCATAATAAATGAAGACCACACAGACTTGGAGCATTAAAAGTCATCCTGTTGTACGGGATGAAAGTAGGCTTTATACTAGAGCACTTTTAAAATATTTATTTCAAATTGAAATGTCGGTGTGCGTCGATGCTGCACAGCCATTGTAACATAACATTCCTACAGAAGTGGGGGAAAAAAATAAAGGGAAGAAAGGTAACTTTTAAAATTCAATTAATCTTTAGGATCAAGTACTTCCCATTCTCTACCCTAGAACAACAGTTTTCTAAATAGCAAATGAAACAATGTCTGTGTGGAAATCTATGACTATTTATCAGTATCTGGAGAACAAATCTACACTTGTAAAGAGCAGGTTAAAGAACCACCCTTACAAGCCTGATGTAAAGATTCATAGCACAATATTAGTCCTCTACGGTATGGTATGATATGCAAAATTTAAAGGCTAATGATAAAAGTTTATTACTATGTTCATAAAGCTGAGTCAGCTTTTCATCAAGAGATTCCATAAAGCCCCAAAAAGAGGCTTTCAGCTAGAAATTTTCTAAAGTCTACACTAAAACATTTAAGCTTTTCCTGCTTAATGAAATTTTATACAGGATAACTGTTTCAAAGCTTCAATGGACATATAACTATTTACAGCGAAGTTTACCTCTACGACTACACCCTTGAAAAAGTAACTCTTCTTCCATATCATCATAACATAGTTAGCATTTTTATTCACAGAATGGATTATAAAATTCCTTATTCAGGCAGAGAAAATAGAATGATTTCAATAATTGACTTGTTCTATCAATGTCTTTCCACTAGTATTTGTTTTTCCACTACTATTTGTTTTTCCACAGAACAACGATGCTAGGAACACATCTCCTGTGAAGACAGTGAACAGTATTTGCAATATGAAAAGCAGCCCACATAACTGCATTAATAAATTATATTGAAGGATAACATCAAAGATTACAATAGGTAATTTGCAAAAAAATACTGATGCTGACACCCTGTTAGCCACTGACCTGAAGTAATGAACAACGTTCCCATTTTAAAAGTAGAAAGAAACACATGATGGACTATTAAAACTATTTTTTCTCTAGCAACAGTAACTGTTCTTTTAAACCAGACTACTATTTGAAGTTAATGAAAAGAATATACTAAAGTAAACAAAATGCTGGAGAACTCTAAAGATCTAGTACCTGACGATGTATGAAAACAACTGATCCTAATAGTCGCCAGGTGCCACCCTGTCGATCTACGTGAAGCATGCGAAGTATCTGGAGAAACCGGATCCCCCTGCAAGAAAAATAGACCTTAAATAAAACTAATGATTGAGAACAATACTGCTCTATCTGCACATAGTTGACTATGTTTGCTAACATACTGCCAGAAAGCCAACCATATCCTGGACTGCATTAAAAGAAGCGTGGCCAGCAGGTCGAGGGAGGTGATTCTGCCCATCTACTCTGCTCTTGTGAGACCCCACCTGGAATACTGCATTCAGCTCTGGACTCCCCAACACAAGAAGGACATGGAACTGTTGGAGTGGGTCTAGAGGAGGGCCATGAAGATGGTCCGAGGGCTGGAGCACCTCTCCTATAAAGACAGGCTGAGAGAGTTGGGATTGTTCAGTGTGGGGAAGAGAAGGCTCCAGGGAGACCTTCTAGCAGCCTTCCAGTACCTAAAAGGGACCTACAAGAAAGCTGGAGAGGGACTTTTTGCAAGGGCATTTAGTGATAGGACAAGGGGCAATGGCTTTAAACTGAAAGAGGGGGGATTTTGATTAGATCTAAGGAAGAAATTTTTCACTCTGAGAGTGGTGAAGCCCTGCAAGAGGTTGCCCAGAGAAATTGTGGCTGCCCCATCCCTAGACTAACAAATCACATATGAGTAACTGGGTATATGAACCCCACGTTCTGTTATTTTTGATATGTCATTGGAATAAGAAGTTTAATTTGCTGGAAACTTTAAAATATTCACTTAAAACCTGTTAATTAAAACATGAGTCCAAGAACAATTACAAGACTACCAAATACATGAGTGTCAACAGACTTATATAATGTAACAGCTCATTGGTTGCTTATGTCAGAAGGAGAGATTTACATGTAGCTCCCCTGTACAGTTATTAGAGACACCTCTTGATGCCTTGACGCAACGGCAGTTCTTGATTTTCCTGTGTCTGTTGTATCTGAGATGGTTTGGGCTGTTACTGCCAAGCACTGACATACATGTTATAGGCTGGCAGTTTTACAAATAAAAGATTTAAAAAATAAGATAGTGAACAAGAAACTCCAGATACCCAGCCTCTGAACATGCGCAACCCATTTCCTCTGAAAAGAGAAAAGAGTTTGGTTGGAAAGAAGACCATTTTTATCAATTTGGTGAACTTAAAACATTAAGGACAGAAGGCTATAGGACTCTGCTGGGAACTCTGCAATGCTACTAGGTTTCAGTCTCACCAGTTGCTGCAGGGATCAAAATGTCAACCTGTCGAAGGGTCTGGAGCTTGCAGCTTTATTCTACAGGAAAAAAACCTAACATGCATGCAACCATGCTTTCTGAGATTGCTGGGATTTAAGGGAGGTCCAAAGAGGACCATAACAATATACCTTAAAAGCAACAAAAGCAAAGGCAAGGGTATGAGAGTCATACCTTATTAATTCAAAAACAGCCACTCATATCACAGTTCTGAGGAAACCTGATGGGACTAAGACTTGCTTGACCCAGATGTTTTTTCAATGGGGCAATAACAACACTGCAGAGATGTGGGTTAAGTTTCTCTGGCAGAAAGCACTCTGAGTTGTAGGACAGTTACTGTATAATTTAATATCAGGTAAGGCTGCAATGAGTCCAAAGCCACCTGGATTCACATATAAACACACAGCAGGCCTTTTCATTAAAGTCCTTCCTACACTTCTAGCTAAACAAAACAAAATCTTTGGAATTTTTATATTCACCCTCCTCTTCTCCTATACGAGCTGTTAAATCACATTCATGCACCTTGTGTAAGTCTTTATCATCATGTAAGGATGAATGTTCTATGGTAATAGTTACATGTATAAAGTATTTTTAAGACAGTTCCCACCAGTGCTTGTCTACACAGCTAGACAGTTTAGACGGAACTATACGTTCTCACTTCCCAGTGATTAGACTGCAATGGAAATCAGAGGCTTGTAACAGAACATGCGGCACACCTTGCAAGTTAAGTTAGAAGTGGGAAGTACACCTACCCTGCTTATCTTTCCTTCCTTCTATTTATCCACTTTACTTCCCAAAACGAGCTTGCAGTACTTGATGCAAGCTGAACAAACATTGTAGACATCAAATGTTTCTGGTTCATGTATGGTGTAAGTTACTTGTGCCAAAAAAATCCACCAAAGCGAAATTACTCTTTAAACAAAGTAATTACTTGTACTCAAAAAGTACCGAGTTAAGTGCTGTCTGGATTACTTCTTAAATAAACCAATGTTCTGTAATACTCTTTTGTCTCAGAAAGAGAGTTATTTGATGTTTTATATAGGACATAATGTTTCTTTAGTTTTTTTCCTTTTGGCTTCAGCATTCACACCATTCTTCATATGCCTTGTATCTGCATTCTTGTTTCCCAACCAGTGACCAAGCACAAAAACACACAGTCTTCCACTGCCCAGTGTTTCCATATAATAATTTCTGCTATAATAGGAAAATTACATATACATCTAATCAGAAACTAGGAAATTAGATATACATCTAATATAGCTCTGCAGTTGTGAAGAGCTACAATCACTAGAAGAACATACCTTATTGCAGAGGTGGCAAACACCTGTCCATTAGATCCTATGCTTAGAACAATAATTGAGGCTACTACCACAATTAGATCTGTTTTTAAATAAAAGAAAAAAAAAAGAAAGAATGTATTAAATGTTAGCTCTCAGCACTGAATCACACAACAAATAGAGACTAAGGAAAGCACTTTAAAAAAGAAATTAAGTTGGCTGAAATTTAGTGGGCAGGAAGTTAATGTAATAGTTTCACATCAAAAAAAACCAATGACTACAGTTTCTTCCATGATGAATTTAATAATGGAAATTTTAAAGATCCTGACAGATCAGGCAGCCTGACACAAACACAACCAAGGCAAAGGCAGATGTACACCCTAGAAATGAATCCACATTTTGGTCCAAGGCTCTTGATTTAAGAGGGAAAGTAAGGCTTTGCTTCCATCAGTAATGAAAGACATACAGACAAGTATATACAGATACCCACACATACACTTCATTTTAAAATGGCATCAAAGCTGTAAAGCCAAGCTTTCAAAGTTTAGGGAGCTGTCAGAATGAACATTGCCTAAAAAGAATCAGAGTTGTTGGTTTTCTTTGTGATACAGTCTCTAATTGTATGAGGAAATAATTGTTTCCAGAGTTCCATTTTTTTCCCACAACTCCACAGTTTACACAGTTCCAGCATTATGCAATGCAAACGATGGACTGTGTTCACAGTGCCAGCATCCCTTATTTTCTCTTATCCTAGTTCAGCAAACTGGGCTATTGCTTTTAATTATTGAACCCTACTCTAACATTATTCTGAGAAGACCTTTGTCTGATTTCCTCATGGGTATTTCTGTTGTAATCCTCTTTAGAGCATCTAAATGCTTAATTTCTAAATTCTAACCAGAAAATAAAGGATACTATTATAAATGGGTAGCAAATGTAGACAGAATGAGGAAAAGTTTTGGTAAATTTTCCTTGCCAGTTTCAAACAAGCACTACCTTATTCTTCAGAGCACTTAACGTTATATAGCACTTCAAAAAAAACCAGTGCCTGCTGACTTCACTTGCAGCTGTGAGAGCTCAGAACCTCTGTAACCTGACTTCAAAGTCTTCATTTGGACACGCAGAAAATGAGGCACACTTGTGAAAACTGATTTAAATGACTGCCACAGTTTCCATGTGATGCCTAGGCAAGATGCAGGATAGAATCCAACTTCAGAGGCAACAAGAGGTGCCTTCAACAAGAGTAACCTTTTTTTCCTCTCCTTCAAACATTCTCCTGCCTCATTCACAACCGTGTAGTTGCTGCAACAAATACTGCAGCAGTTCTACAACTAGAGAGTTCTTCACTCTCTAACTTGGATTATTTTCCAGCATCAGTATGATTTTTGCTGCAAATGCAGGATTCCTCCCCAGGGGATAACATTCAATCGGTTTAAAGACTGTACTACAATAACTGTACATTTAAGAAAATGAAAATAAATATAGGAAAGGATAAGTTAAAGCTACAGAAAGAGTTTCCATTTTGGGATGCTCTAACTTTTGGGTATCCAACTTTCCAAACTTTTTATGCTGTTCCTTTATCATGTACTTGTGTGAACATTTGTAAACACTCAGAATTTAGGGAGGGTTTTCTTCCGGTCACATCATAATACAGATCCATGCCCTAAGCAAGTGAGGCACCTGATGTCCTTACTAAATTTTCAGACATACACATACGATAACAAGCAGTGAAAGAGGAAAAGACTGACACTTAGGAAATGACTTTCGATCAGCTGGTGACACTAACATAGATTTTTCACTTGTAATTTCTACTTTTCTGAAAGTGTGTTCTACCTGGTAGAGATATTTATTTTTTTTCTCCAAAACCTGTTCTTCTGTATCTGCTTCTCTCTGTTCCTAGTTTTCATGCCAGTTGCCAGTCTTTAGGCTTCTCATACTAACCTCAGTTTCCTGGTTCAAACAGTCCTGTTTTACACTCTAGGTCTGTAGCCTGTCCTTCTGCCCTTAGACTGCCACCTTTCAATCCCATGTATTTTCAGCCGCTACTTTTTGCCTTCAGCCTCCTGCTTGCTTGTTAGTCTCTTCATGTGTCCTTCTCCCAGACCCTTACATCAGCATCCATCCTCCCGTTCTTTCATTGAACCAGTATGTCCCAGTCCATTCCTCCTACCCTGCCACTTCACCTCACCATTTAAGCCTAGTATTTTGCCCTTCCGTGTGCCCTGGGAAGTTTCAGGAAGAGCATTATAAAACCAAAATTAACAGATTTTCCACCTCCAGCCTCAGCGCTGCTGCTCAGAGAAACCTGAAATGTGAAGTGTGCAGGCTCGCTGCAGATTCAATCTTTGAAGAATACAAGAGCCTTCTCTAGGAGGGTGTTTAAGCACAAACAAGCTACCAATTTTTCAGAGGTTTATTAGTCAGCCTGGAGTTGACTTTCAGTAACAATCAAAAAGCCATTTTCTCATTAAGTCTCAAGTATTTGCTTCAAAGTGTGGAAGTGCTAGTGCTTCTCCATAAGAAATCACCAGAATTGCCTTTTTCAGGAAAAGCTTATATATTTTGCATGAAATGTCTCCACAAGACTCAAACTGAAGCAGATGCTTGGCATGGAAAATGTCAGGATAAAGAGCCAACATTTGTTTATATAACTTTTTCAACTCTAACAAGCATTATTATCTAGATTATCATTACATTAGTACTAGTGTCATTTTTTTAAAAATAAAGTGTCAGGAAGCCTTGGTAATTTTAAAAACTGAATTCCAGTAATTCATAAAGAGCAATACATAGATATCCTTCTCGAACATTCTACCTAGTTACATGTTTGCAAACATGTCTGTATATACATGAGGTGTAGAGAGACAAAAATGACCAAGCATCTTCTCTGCAGTATGTGCACTACATACATAGACGACAGACTCACACAAATCACATTTCTTGCAATCTAGCATGTGTAGTACACAGCTTTGAAAAGCTCATCCACTGTTGGTGCACTGTCCCCATGGCTTACTCTTAGGTTCTGAATCCTCGAGAAATTCCAAACAGCTGCCATTTTTATCTAAAATTCAACTTGCCAGTGAAATATTACTTAGTTATGCATAAACCAGCACAGCCCATAGCAACACCTATAACGTAGCTTACCTGAGTGCTGCTTTTTTTTGAGAAAATCGCTGGCTTGTTTGCAATGTTCTCACAAGTTTACTGTCTAGGATGCAATTCTCAGCTTTTTGATGAAAACCAGTTAAAAATTTTTAAGTTTAAAACAGTAAAAATATTTGCATTTGCGTTTTAATTTTTAGTTGCCATAGTATTTTACAGAATGTAAATTGCCCTCAGCTTGCAGGTGTGTTCTCAGTAGTCTGGAGATAATATGACTCCCATAAAGACTTAAATTAAACAGATTATTTGCACATATTTGAATTTGATTTACACTGCATTCTTTTTTGCTGAACATTTGCGTTCTATTGGCACTTCATAAATTAGGTTTATACAAGGTAAATCAAGCTTTATACACCAGGTGCTGATGCTTTTTCAGAGCTGTATACATAATCAATTAAAGGTGCTCATAAACAAAGTTCTATTGTCCTTAAGGACAATATGAAATGGACATACATATGTGGACTCAGATCTTTACACCAGTAATTTATGACCCCCTTATGTCTTTCAAACTACATACTGTCAAAACCAGGAGATACAAAAGTTAATAAATAAATTGGTTCTTTGTGACATTTTCTGCAACAACAGCAAAAGGATAAAAGAGGTTATGAAAGGACATTCTCTTGATTTTGCCTGTGCTTGGAACCTGCCTCTCATAAAACCCGAATTAGGCTGGGATTTTCAGCAGCATTCAGCTCCTAACCTAAGCCTACTGAAAGAGTAAGCAATGGAAGTGTTAAATCAATATTTAGGAAAGGTATCACTATTACTGCTGCTGCCTTGAGCACCGCACACTCTTTAAACACGCTCATTCTGTGAACTAGGGGATGAAGAAGCACGGAGAGACAAAGTGATTCTTTTAGGGATTCTTGGTATGCTGCAAATGAATTCAAACTATCTCTCCTGACAGGTTTTTCAATTATACAATTGTCTTCTGTCATTTACATGTAATCACCTATAATCTGTCTGCAAAGAGGAGAAAAAATAGACTAACTTTAGAAAATCTAGCTAGAAACAAAAAATTTTGATTTACAAGGTAGAGAAATTGCATCATTTTCCATTTTAGATAAAATTTTAAAAGACTATTCAAGAAATAGTGTGTCCTTAACATTTTCCTTCCCCAGTTATGGAAGTTGCATGTGTAACATACTATTTTATGCAGCATGGAATGCAATAATACTAAACAATTTTATAAAAGAAAGTAATAACTAGGTTTGACTGCTAAATCTCTTTCTGGTAATACACACCAAAATGATTTTTATTTACAATTAGACAGGGGAAAAAAAGGAAATAGAATGGGAGAAACTAAATAAGTTAAAAATTGATACCAATTTGAACTTTCTAAGAATTAATCCAAATTTTAGTGTGAACAAAAACTCATAAAAAATCTCTGTGATATCAAAGACATTTCAATGATATTTTCTGTTTTTAAAATAAAGACTTTTGTATTAATGCAAAAGTAAAATGAAGACCTTATTTTTTATATTCTCTTCTAATCCTTTCTTTTTCTAGTGTTTGTATTTTATTCTTGTAAATTCGAAAATGACAGGATGAGTCAGTATGTTTCTATTAGTCACAGCAAACGCATTTCCGAAATTTAGTGCTTTTGGATTAGTGTAGACACAGCTCCATCTGCATTTGATATAGATTCATAGATTCATAGATTCATAGATTTCTAGGTTGGAAAAGACCTTAGAGATCATCGAGTCCAACCATCCCTAATCCCCATTAAACCATATCCTCAAGTAGCTCATCCACCCTATTCTTAAACACATCCAGGGATGAGGACTCAACCACCTCCCTGGGCAGCCTATTCCAGTGGCTGACAACCCTTTCAGAGAAGAAATACTTCCTAACATCCAACCTGAATCTCCCCTGACTAAGCTTATGCCCATTTCCTCTTGTTCTATCACCTGTCACTAATGTAAAGAGTCCTTCCTCCACCTCCCCACCGTCTTTTCTCAAGTATTTATAGGCCGTAATCAGGTCTCCCCTCAGCCTCCTCTTTTCCAGGCTAAACAGCCCCAACTCCCTCAGCCTCTCTTCATAAGTTTTATTTTCCAGCCCCTTGACCAGTTTGGTCGCCCTTCTTTGGACTCGCTCCAGGAGCTCAATATCTCTCTTAAAGCGAGGGGCCCAAAACTGGACACAATATTCCAGGTGCGGCCTCATATGTAAAAACAAATCTTGATTTTAAATGTATTGTATTCTTAGGGGAATTTTAAATGTAAAAACAATACTGATACCTTTAAATGCACAACCAGCTGTAGTCATTCTTAGATTTTCTTAACAAAACACACTGCATCTTCTCCAAGGGCTATACAAATATTAATGTTTATTGTGGTAGATGCACAACATCAGTACACAGAACCACTATCAAACCGAAATCATGGCTTAATGGGACTGTCACATTTTCTTCTGCACCTGTGTACTCTGATACACCTACCTAAGAAGCATTTCTTAAGTGAAAGAGAAGTCAAGAACATGATTAGGAGAAAAAAAATGTTATCTGTAAGCTTCATGGTTAGATGATGAAACCAGATCAGCTCTAGAAGCAGCTGAAGAATTTGTTTGTATGTAATGAAACACTTCTTTCTCAATAGCCCAAAACTGTGTACATTAATCTTGTTACATTAATCACTGCCCACATCCAGATGCATAATAGAATACGTTGTTTCCTGAGTTTTTGCACCAAGTTTCATAAAGTCACAGATGGTTAAGGAAACATCAGCTCATTCTCTCCCCTTTTCACCTATCCCACTTTGCTCTATTTAAAACTCAATGAGTTGATGTTTCAGCAACATAAAATTCGCAGCTCTACTGGAGTCTATATAAAATCACAGACTTAAAACAGAAACACTGATTTTATGGTCTACTACAGTTTCGTCTGAACATGACCTTTTGATAATCCCTCACTGTTCCACAGGTTCTATTAGTCACCTCTTCCCCTAAATTCTCTCCTACTCCAGAGATGCTGCCACAATAGCTCCTCAAACCATCTAAAATTGCTTAACTTTAGTACTACCCAGGGGAATTTTTCCTGAGTTATACTTTGCACGTTTCCATGTTTTTCCCAATTTATACTCACCTTTGTGTTTGCTTTCTACAGCAGACCTAAGGAAGAATTTTTGTGTTCAAAATCTTGTAAATTTTCTCCAATTATACAAGTAGATTTAATAAAGATTTCTTCACTTTACAAACTGCTTTTCTTTAGCTGATGTCTGCCTCTGTCTCACAGCCATATTTTAAATGTTCAGTTCTAGCAATTCAAAAGAAGAAATAATTGCACAGGTTCACAAAGTAGGTAAAATCCTGAGTGACCGACATAGCCCAGAATTGCAATATGATCTCTGCAGTAGTTGACATCTTTACTTTAAAATGGATGATAACAGCAAAGTTCAGGATAAAAAAAGAGTTTAAATCTTACCGATAATTGATATTGGCTTTCTGGCAAACCGTATTCTTCCCTGGAAGCCAACATACTTACTCCTGCAGCCTGCAGACCACAACCGGACCACATATTCAGCACCAAAAAATACAACCAGAACTATTTCCTATCAGAATTAAAAGGACAAAATATCAGTTTTTTTCATTAAATGACAGACAACAGTTTGCACATCTAATTTATTCCTATGACTAATACAAATCAGCTTGTTGAGATGAAAGATGCAATAAAAAGGATTGTGCCAAATCTGTTCACTCTTTATATGCATATGCCAGCCAATAGGTAAAATGGAGATATAATCTGTTCCTGAATGTCATTTGCATGAATAAAAGGATGGCTTAAGCTCCATTTCGTCAATATATCATAGGGAAAAACACAATATTATTCTTTTGTTTCTTTCCAAAACTTGAAATTTTTAAAGATAAGGAATGGAGAGAGGCTACAAGCATATCATTCCTAAAACCAACAGGCCTATGGAATGTTTCTAGATCATTAAACAGAATTTATAAACATAAAATATGTCAACTCTGTATAATCAAAATAGAATCATAGAATATGTCAGGTTTGAAGGCACTCAAAATGCTCATCACATCCAACTCCCAGCTCCTCGCAGGACTATCTAAAACTAATTCATGTGACTAAAATTGTCATCCAGACACTCCTCAAACTCAGTCAGGCTTGGTGCTCCCTGGGGAACCTGTTTCAGTGACCAATCACTGTCTCAGCAAAGAACCTTTTCCTGATATCCAATCTGAATTTCCCCTGATGCAGCTTCATTACATTTCCTTGTGTCCTATCACTGCTCACTCTAGAGAAGAGATCAGTGCTTTCCCCTCTGCTGCCCCTCTTGAGGAAGTTGTACACCACGATGAGGTCACCCCTCAGCCTTCTCTTCTCCAAGTTGAACAAATCAAATGACCTCAGCTGCACCTCATAAGTCTTGCCCTCAAGGCCTTTTGCCATCTTTGTTGCCTTCCTCTGGACACACTCTAATAGTATGATGATGCCCTTCTTAAATTGAGGTGCCCAAAACTGCTCAAGGTAGGGCCACACCAATGCAGTATAGAGTGGGACAATCACCTCCCTCGACCACAGAGCTATGCTGCACTTGATGCATTCCAGAACATGGTTGGCCCTTTTGGCTGACAGGACACACTGTTGTCTCATATTCAACTTGCCATCAACCCAGACCTCCAGATCTCTTTCCATGGGGCTGCTCTCCAGCCTCTCATCCCCAAATTTGTATTTATAACCAGGATTGTCCCTTCCCAGCTGGAGAATCCAGCACTTGCTCTTGTTAAATTTCATATGGTTGGTGACTGCCCAGCTCTCTACTCTATCCAAATCTCTCTGTAAGGCCTCTCTATCCTTGAGGGAGTCCACAGCTCCTCCTAGTTGGCAAACTTACTTAATATACATTTGATTCCCACGTCCAGATAATTTATAAAAACATTAAAGAGCACTGGCCCTAAAACTGAGCCTTGGGGAACCCCACTGGTGACTGGCTGACAGCCTGATGTAACCCCATTTACTATAACCTTTTGAGCCCAACCCATCAGCTAATTGCTCACCCAATGTATTATGGACTTCTCTAGCTTTATGCTGGACAGTTTGTCCAGAAGGATGCTGTGAGAGACAGTATCAAAAGCTTTGCTAAAATCCAAAACCACCGCATCTACTGACTTTCCTTGGCCAACTATAGGTGACCTTGACATAAAAGGAAATTAAGTTGGTTAAGCAGGACTTTCCCTTCGTGAACCCATGCTGGCAAAGACCAATGACTGCGTTGCCTCTCAAGTGTTTTTCAATAACTCCCAGAATAACCTTCTCCATAACTTTACTAGGCACTGAAGTGAGACTGAAGGCCTGTAATTACCAGCATCTTCCTTCTTAACCTTCTTGAAAACTGGGACAACATTTGTCAGCTTCCAGTCAACTGGGACCTCTCCATAGTGCCAAGACCATTGAAAAATAATGGAGAGAGGTCCCGCAGTGACATCAGCCAGCTCTTTCAGCACCCCGGGATGAATTCCATTGGGCCCCGTAGATTTATGTGCAGTCAGCTGGAGCAGCAAGTCTTGAACAAGTTCAGGGTCGGCTGGGAGTTTATCATCCCCTCGATCAACGTCTTCCAACATAGGGCTCCAGGGTTCCCAGGGACCATCATCAGTGTTGAAGACAGAGGTGAATAAGCCATTAAATGTCTCCGCTTTGTCTACGTCCCTATTTGTGAAGTGACCAACCTCATCAAGCAATGGCCCAGTGATATCTCTGATTCTCCTTTTGCTATTTATGTATTTTTAAAAGCCCTTTTTGTTGTTCTTCACAGTGCTGGCCAGCTTGAACTCTAATTGAGTTTTGACTGCAAGAATTTTCTCCCTACAGTGGTGAACAGCATCTCTGTAGTTCTCCTGTGTCACCTGTCCTTTCTTCCGATGTCCATACACTCTCCTTTTCCACCTAAGTTCTAGAAGAAGATCCCTGCTCAGCCAAGCTGGCCTTCTGCCCTGCTTGATTAACTTCGGACACTTTGGAACTGCCTGCTCCTGCGCTCTTAAGCATCATCTACTTTATGGCTAACTGTGACCAAGCCAGCCATTAATTACCACTTTGCCCATGAGTCTCTCTGTGTTTATAAACAACAAATCTAGAAGGGCACCTTTCCCAGTCAGCTACCTTCACCAAGAAGTTATCTTTAACATGCTTCATAAATTTACTGGACCTCTTTGTGTCCACTGTATGATATTCCCAGTTGATGTCTGGGAAGTTAATATCTCCCATAAGGAGAAGGGCAGCTGATCTAGCGATATCCCTTAATTCCTTGTAGAATACTTCATCGGTGTCATCGTCCTGGCTAGGTGGTTGATAGTAGACTCCCACAACAACATCCGCTTTCCTCTTCATCCTTACCCAGAGGCTCTCAACTGTGTCGTCATCAAATGTAAGTGCGATACAATACAACCCCATCCTTATATACAGCGCCATCCCCCACCTCGCCTGCCCTGTCTACCCTCTTGAGTAGCCTATAATCATCCATTGTGGCACCCCAGTCACAGGACTCATCCCACCAGGTTTCACTTATGTCAATGATGTCATAGCTCTGGGACCAGGCCAAAGCTTCTAGCTTCTCTTGTTTATTCCTCATGTCACAGACTTTTCAAATGAGCTCTAGTGTACTCAGCACACCATGGAGCAGACTGAAGGACCTTGCTAGCACACGATCCCTCAAACATTGGTGTGCCACTCTCAGGCTTATTGCTAGCAAGTCTGGTTTTATCTCTTTCCTCCTTCAAATCTAGTTTAAAGCTCTATCCATGAGCCCTGCTAACTCCTGCACAAAGATCATTCTTCCTCTTTGACTCAGATGTACCCTGTCTGTCGACAGCAGGCCTTGTGTCATGTAGACAGGCCTATGATCAAAAAACCCCAAATTCTGCCAGTGACACCAGGCTCAAAGCCAGGTATTGATCTACTGACTCTTCCTATTTCTTCCCTCATCATTCCCTGCAACTGGAAGGGTAGAGGAGAAAACTGCTTGTGCTCCTGATCTCTTAACCAGTCATCCCAAGGCCCTGAAGTCTCTCTTGATTGCCCTTGGACATCTTATTGCAATGTCATCGCTGTCCACATGAAAAATCAATAATCACAGGATCACAGAATGTTAGGGATTGGAAGCGACCTCAAAGGATCATCTAGTCCAATCCCCCTGCCTGAGCAGGACCACCTAGATAATGGATAATAATCTGAGGGCCATACCAAGGTAGGAAGTTTTCTCCTCACATCTTTAACCTGGCTTCCAGTGAGGCTGCAGACTTCCCTAAAAACGGGGTCCGGTCTGCATATTAGGCCTTCTGTTCCACTCAGAAGAGGATTTCCTATGACAATGACCCGTCTTTCTTTCTTTATGGAAGCGGTTTTGATGCAAGGCATAGGCTGACTTAACCTTGGCAACACCTCCAATCTAGATGAACCATCGTCCCTGTCACTGTTCAGTTCCACTTGCAGAGCCTCATACCTATTATGCAAGGGTACCTGGGAAGGTGGGGTAGTCAGGGAGGAGACGCGCATGATGCACTGGGCAGCAATTCAACACCACTGCCCCCTATCCTTTAGGTCACCATGTTCAGCCAGGTGAAGAGAGGATAGGGAATCCTCCGTATCATGTGTCCTGCCACCTGACAGACCTGTACCAGGGAAGGTAAGGTGCAGTTCTAGTAATCTATCTCTCTTTCAGACTCCCTGATACTCTTCAACCTACTCACCTCCTTCCCCAGCTCTGCCACTAAGCTGAGGAGTTCTCCTACCTGAGTGCATCTCCCACAGGTGTGCTCACTACTGCTGTCCAGTACTGCCATAAGAGTAGGGCACATCCTGCAGCCTGACACCCAGGTAGCAGCGTGTTCCCACCAGAGTTCTGTCTGGGAACTGCATCACTCATGGCAGGTGCAGAGTTCAGAGAGGACGCAGCCTTCTGCCGGCTGGACACCATTGCACCCTGGTTGAGTCGGCAGAGCTACAGCAGCCTTCTGCACAAACTGCTGTGCCATGCCCTGGTTGCTAGTACTCCCTAAGGGTTTCTTATACAGGAGAGGAGCCTTGGCCCTACCCAGGTCTTGTCAGCTGCTGTTGCGTGAGCTGTGGGCTCCTGGTGAGTCTATCCACACCCTTGATGTTTCCCTGGTTCAGGAACTCCCCCATCCACTGCGCTAGGACACTGCTGCAGATTGTTCCAGCACCAGAGCTGCTCGTCTTAGTGACTGAGGTGAGCAGTATATATATAGCATATAAAATAAATGAATGATCTATATTTTAATATCGCTTCCCTCCATAGCATTATATTGTAAAGTACTCATGCATAACCAAGGATCAGTATACTCTGGGATACTTCTAAAGGAAGCAGATTAGTAAAGGACCACAACATGGCCAGATTTGTTAAGATCTTTGTTCCTTCCTTCCTTGTTTTCCTCTGTCATTGCAATATACTAGCACAACCAAAACGCAGCTTCTAGGCTTTGTTCCAACCCAAACTGTATCCAATAACTTGGGAGTCACCGAACACCTACTCTATAAATTATAGCTTTGGAAAATATTTGTATTTTCACTTAAACA